GGCGCGGCCCGGCCCGGCCCGGCCCGGCCCGTGCGGCCTCCGGCGGCCCCACGCCGCTCCCCGTGGCCGTTGGTCTCCCGACGCCCGGCCGGCGCGTGTCGGGACCGTGGGTCCCGGCAGCCCCAGCAGCGCGGGGCGAGGCCGCGCTCAGGGCGGTTCTCCGCCCGTTCTCCCGCCGGGGCTCGGCGGCGCCGCGCCCAGCAGCGGCGGGTTTCCGCTGGGGCCGCCGCGCCCGCGGGTCGTGCCCCACGGCGGTGCTGCCCCTGGCGGGTCCCGGGGTCTCCCTCGCCTCACGGTGACCCTGGCACGTGGCACGGCCCGCCGCCCGCGGGTTCTCCACGGGGACCTCTGTGGGCACGAGGGTGCGGGAGAGCTTCACCCGAGCCGGGGCGAGACCTTCCGGCCCCGCTGAGCCCTTCAGGTCACGGCGGCAACGGGGCCGTGCCCCGGCCCGTCCTTGGGCAGCGCGGGACCGGCGCGGCAGCGGACGGGCGGGCACCGGCCGAGTTTTCGTTGAAGTCGGAACTGCGGGGCGCGGCCGAAGAACGGCGGGGCCGATGCCCGCGCAGCCCCGCAGCCCAGCCGGGGCCGGTCGGGCGGCTCTCCGTGCTCGGCACGGCGCCTCGGCTCGGGCAGCCGTCGGGGCAGGCCGGGCCCGGGCTGGCAGCGCCGTTCTGCGCGGAGGGGACGAGCGGGCAGGCGAGACCCGCTTACATCCTGCCCGCCTCCGTCCCTGCCGTGACCCCCCGCTCTCCTCCTGCTGAGGTGAAGACCCTCGGCCCAGCTCTCTGCAGGGGCCAGGGGCGGCAGAGGCTCCGAGCGCCGTGCCGCGGGCCCGGCCCGGGCAGCGCTGTCGGTGCTGCTGCCGCTGCGGCCAGCCCCGCTCCCGGCCGCGCCGCCGCGCCATGAAATGCCTTATCGATTAAACGATTATTCAGGCGATTTAACTAATAAAAGGCCCCATCGATCGCTTCGAAATTGCATTCCGCCACCGAGCCGCCAGGCCGCCTCCGCGCCCTGCACCGCCCGCAGGGACGCGGTGACGGGCCCCGCAGCCCCGCCGATCCCCGCTCCCTGTCCCGGTGCCCGCCTGGCCGCCGCCGCGGGGAAAACGGACGCCAGGGTGCCTCTCCGCGGCTGTCGGCGGTCTCGGCAGCCCCGGACGGCGGGGAGCCGGTCCCACCCCCCGGTTCTGCCCGCGCCCCCCTTGCCCGCGGGGCCGCCGGGCTCCCCGCGGCCCTGGCCCGAGTCCCACCTGTGCGGCCGGCTCGGGCCGTCGCGTAGGTTTTCTCCAGCTCCATTCCGGCTCTTCAGGACTTCGGGAAACGGAGGCAAGAAAAAGTTTCCACGTCGTATTGCAACCTCTTCCTTTTCCCTCTTTTTTTTTCTTTTCTTTTTTATTGTTTTGTGTTCTTTTCTCTTTTCTTGTATTTTTCCGTTTTTCCTTTCCTCCTTTCTGTATTCTTTTCTTCTTTATTTTCTTTTTTTCACCCGTTCTTTCTTTTCTTTATTTTCCTTCTGTATTTTTCCTCTTTCTTTCTTTTTTTTTTTTTTTTTTTTTTTTGTGAGGGGCTCTCTCAGGTTGGAATAATTCAACTCTTCCGCTCCCCGCCGAGCTTTTGCAGCTGATCACTGAGCTGAAACTAAACGTTTTAGGTGGAAAAAAGCCTCTGAAGGAACCGTGAAATGATTAAGAAACTAAAGAGCTCCTCGCCATGTGAGATCATGTCCTGTTCTCTAAAACATCACAAGATGTCCCCAGACGCAGCCAAAACCCAGGAAAACTCTGACACGTTCTGTAGCAGGAATCAAAGTTTGCTCGCAGCCGGCCGCCCCCCGAGCTCTCCGGCGCCCCGGCAGCGGCGGCGGCACCTGCCCGTTCTGCCTCCGCTGCCCCAGCCTGTCACCAACTTTTCAGCAGACCGACTTCCCCTTCCCGGGCCGGGGTGACGCTGCCGCCCCCGGGGCCGCGCTCCCCGCCGGGCCGGGCCGGGCCGCCGCAGGGGCGGGACAGGGAGCCTGGGGGCGGCGGGGAGACCCCCGCATCCCCGCGGGCCTGCCCTGCCCTTTCCTGCCCCGCGCCCCTTGACAGGGGACAGCCCTGCGCTGCGGCGGGGACCGGAGAACAGCGGCCCAGTGGAAGCACGGGGGTCCTGGGCAGGATTTTCCCGGCACGGGGGCTTCACTCGGGCTTCCTCCCCCCGTACCTCCCATTCACGTGGCGGATGCAGACCCACGGCCGCGAGTGAGGGTGGGGAGAGTTAAAGGGAAAAAATCACGCGGCTTAGACCGCTCCCAGGTTTATTGGTTTATTTTTCAGCAAAACGACTGTGGGGGAAAGCGGGAAATAATGGCCTTTCCCAAAGGCCAAAACAAATTTCGGCTCCAAGCCCGGCGGGCAGTCCCGCTCCTCGCGCGCACCAGCGCCTGCCGCCACGCACCCGCGCACAGCCACGGCCCGCAGCCCGTCTCCCACGGACCCCGCCGAGACACGGAACCCACCCGCTGGCGTGGTCGCAGGTGGGCTCTGCTCTGCTCCCCTGCCCGAGTTCCCCCTCTGCCCCACGGCCGGCGGCGCGCCGTGGTGTCGAGCAAGGGGCACGGGGCATGTGCCGCGGGGAGAGGCGCCAGGCCGACCGAGGGGCTCTCTCCCGGCTGACTCGCCCGGCACAGCCTTGCCATCCCCACTGAGAGCCGACATGGACACCACTCTGTTTCCAAACTCTATCTTTTCCCTCCGGGCCATCTCTCCGCCTTCGGTGCAGTCGCATCCTAAGTCCGGCGGCCTCGCGGGGTTCCGCTGCTGGGCCGGGCCCGGCCCTACGGGACCCCCGGCCGCTCGGCTCCGAAAGTGAGGCCGGCTGTGGCCTCTCTGCCTTTTGCTTCCCTTCCCACCAACCTCTCTTCGCTCTCATTTTCTTACACAGAAATAGCCTCGCCGGAGCTTTCCGCCGGCTCGCCCTGAAACGCGAGCAGCCGCTCCGGGCTAGGGGCTCTTCCCTGGGGGAGGTGCCCCCACAGAAGCGGTGCAAATGCGGGCAGACCCCGAGTCCCTTTCTCGTCCCTTCAGGCGCTCACCTCGCCTCTCCCGACCGAGCCGGCCTCGGCAACGCGAGCAGCCCGTGAGAGCTCTCTGACCTCACGCAGGGAAAGGAACGAAAAACAGTTTATTGTCCTAAAAACAGGCTGAGGGGCTCCCGCCTCCCCTCCCGCCGCCCGACACGGCCTGAGAGAGACCACGGGGGAGCGGCGGCGGGGCCGCAGCGGGGCAGGCCAGGCCCCACGCGTGTGCAGCGCGGCCGTGGCCGCGGAGACGTGCGAGCAGCGACCCGCGTGGGCCCGCAGGCTGAGCAGCTCTGCGGGGCGCGCAGATCTGCGGGGTGCGGGAGAAGGAGCCGTCCCCAGCCCCGGCGCCGCCAGCCGGGACCGCGCGGGCTCCCCCGGTCCCGCTCGGCCGTGCCCGCTGCCGCGCTAACGAAAACAAGGCGGCGGCTCCGGCGGGGAGCGGCTCTCCTCGCCCCCGGGCAGCGGGGCAGGGCTGGGAGCCGCTCTGCTGGCCGCGCCGAGACCCCCGGAGCGCGGCTGCGGAGCCCCGTCGCCCCCAAGCACCGACCCCCGCGGGGCCGTGACCGGGGCTGGGATTTAAGGCCCGGTGAGAGAGGCGGCGGCTGACGGACGCCTGGAGGAAGCCGCTGCTGTGTCCACGCAGGGACAGTGCCTCGGGAGCCGGCAGGGCTGGGGGCTGCCAGGATCCCCCCAGGACGGTCCCTGGAAAATGCCTCCGCTCTCAGCAGAGCAGCACCCGAGGGGCACAGAGCGGTGCCGCGGCAGGAATCCCCGGGGAAGCGGGTCTCGGGGTCACATCACCGCGACGCTGCGGCCACAGCCGAGGGCCCCCGACGTTGGCACGTCCCGGACCACACTTTGGAGTGATGCTGTGCTTTCTGCACGAGGAAGGGTAAAAGCACAGCGAAGAGGGAAAAAAACCCGCGGCTCAGCAGAAATCTGGGTTTGGAGTTTTCCTAGGACAGTTATTGTTTCCTGCCCTCACTGAAGAGAGGAGACCACGAACCCGGGCCAACCTTTTTGTCCTTTTTGTCCTTTTATATCTGGTGCATAAAAGGAGATGAAGGGTTGTCCTCCCATCCTACAACGCTCGCCCTCGTCCTGCAATGCCCGAGACTGCGAGGGGCTTGGCCTAACACCTGTCACCCAAAACACCTGGAGCGGCCGGAGCAGAGTGCCTCGCTTCCCCAGGTACTGGCCTGAGCTGCTCCAAGAGCTGTCTCCTCTCCCCGCATTCGAGGGGGTTGGAGGGGCACACGTTGCAGGGAGCATCCAAAGACCCGCACCACATTTACAGTTATCTGCGTTTTCTCATATTTCTGTCAAAGACATCAACACCAAACACGAGAGAGGGGGAGCGCTGCTACAAATTCTACCAATTCAGTCCGGTTTGGCAGCATTAGGGGGAAGGAAGGAAGGAGGAGGGAAGGTGAGGCGGGAGTGTTACTGATTTGGAAATAGCCACTGCTCCTCTACCGCACTACAGTCTCTTTTTCCTCCGATGTCTGTCGTTTTAAATTCAAAATGGGGGAGATCTATCAGCGATCCTGGCCCAGTGTGTTCCCAGAGAAAAAGTCCCTTCTGAGATGGGGATGTTAATCAGACCGAAGCAATTTAAAAGGTGTTAGGTGGGCAGTGCTGTAAAGTTGAGGGCACTTAGGTAGCATACTCTAATACCGTGAGTGTCCTTTACAGAGCTGTGCACGAAAAGCCATCAGAAAAAGAGGTCTGAAAGAGGAGCTGGTCGGCACGGAGGAAGTGTGCTGTCCCCCCAGACCATGACTCTGCAGCTAGACACGAACGACGGGTTGATGCTGACTGTCCTGCCAGGACTCCGTCCCCCTGTCCTGTCTCGTCGGTACAGAGACGCCAGAGCCGGTGGCGCAGCTGACAAAAGCAGCGGGTTTTATTTTTGAGAGCGTGAGAGGAGGGCAGGAAATGATGAGAGACTTCTCTTTTTCAGCCAATATTCATAACTATTTTTCTTCCCCCTCACCTACCAGTAAGTTCTGCCTCAGCTGTGCTGCCAGTTGCCTCATTCTCGTTGGTGTATTCCCAGGGGTCTTTCTCTGGCGTATTCCACAGAGAGAGTCACTCCCAGCACCGTGACTGGGTGAAACGCTTTTCTAAAAGCATTTAAGCACGGAGCTTTTCTGTCTGGCACTCGGAGATCTGCTCCCCTTGCTGTCCCTTAGGACTTTTTTTCTCCAGTCCACAACTATAGTGACTGGGGCCTGCCTGGTTTTGGTATAAACTGTGTCGAAGCAGAAGGCTAACTTTGTTTATCACAGCAATGAATAGCCCAAATCTATTTCATCAGCCTAGTGTGGAAGGTCTCAAGGTTGCAATGAACACTTCAGTCTCCTCTCTCTGTCACTTTCACTGATCTCGAATGTGGTTACTTTGATAGCTAAAAAGACACGGTTTTAAAAGTCAGCTTTGTAGAACCTTCTGCCTGGTCAGATGCTTGCATACACTGCTGAAAATGAGCCAGGATCCAAGGGAGGCCAAGCCACACCAGGCGCGGGCTCCTACCTGTTCCCGGGAGCTCTGTGAGAAGCCCCACCGCATCCTCTGAGGTCACTGCAGGCGGGCGGCGGAGCCAGGCCGGGCTCCCGGGAGCGCTGCAGGATGCTCGGGCCGTCAGAGGGCCGGGGAAGGCGAGAGGGAGCGCTGGAGCCCTGCGGCCCCGGCAGGAAATGTGCGTGCTCGGATGCAGGGCTGGCGGCGGGCGAGCGCTGCTCGTGTGACCGAAGGAGGAAAAGGCTGCCCGAGGCTCTCCGGGGTGTGTGCGGACAGAGCCGCCGGCCGGGAACAGCGGGAGAGGGGCGAACTGCTGATGGCTTTGCTAGTCGGAAGGTGCCGTGGGGTGCCTAGGGACTGCAGGGGTCTGGGCAGAGCACAGAGCAGGAGCTGAATCTTCGCAGATGTGGGTCGGGGACCTCCTGAAACAGCGTCCTTGGAGCGCAGCCTGTGTCACCGCGCGGACTTGGATGACGGCCCTGGGTGCCTGGCAGGTGAGACGGCCGGGGGGCAGATTGTCACCTCTGCTCTGCTTCAGGCACAACGCAGATCCTGGCTGGGGGCCGCTGGGCTCGCCGGAACAACTTGCTAAGTTGTAAACCTCGCTTCCCACAGCCTAAAAGCATCCTCCCATGGACATTTTAACAGGAGGGGCCCATTATAGATATGTTGCAAAGAAAACAAAACAAGAATTCGTTTGGTTTGGTTTTTT